ACCTTTCCAACGCTTATCACTTAGGCGAAAAATGCTGAGTCACTGGGCCGTAGACACGTTCGTTGCGTGACTGTCTCATATTTCGTGAAAAAAAAAAAGAAAAACTACTGCGCTCGCGCAGATTGTGACTACTGGAAATGTGGACCTTTCCCTCACTTATCACCCGAGAAAAAAAATTCTGATTCACTGAGCTGTGGACGCATGCGCAGCGTTTTATATGCCACACATCAGAGCAACAGCGCATGCTCAGAGAGCGCTCCACAGCCCAGCAGACAAAGATGGCGGCGCGCAGAAGGCGGTGTTTGCGAAGGTCTTATAGTAGAGAAGGCTTGTAAATTAAATAGGTCATAAAACGATATCGGGTTGGAATGTACATGATCTTGCAGAGGCGTACTGGTCCTAGTTTTGTCGAGGTATGCTCGCACAGACCGCCGCTGATTCAAAAGATTTTTGTCGCGGCGAAATTGCGAGGATAAAAGGGGACTATTTCTTTCAACCTTACGACAGTCGAGCGCGGCTCGACTGTCGTCAGGTAAACTAGCTGGCCGTTACATGAATGTAACTGCCAGCTACTTTAGCTTATGACTGGTTACGAATAATACTTACTTTCAACCTCTTAAAAGCCTGAGATTTAGGGAAAAAAAACGTTGACAGGGTGACACGCGCACGCGCACGCGCAACTTCTAAATTTGGGGTTTCCAAGATGTTTAAACTTCACCAGCTCGCATGCATGTTCTTTGTTATTTCTTATAACTATTATTGTAAATACTAGAGTCATGAGCTCTGCCAATATTAAACTTCGTTTCACATTAAGTCAAGACACAGCCGACGCTACGAGCGGATCGGACCAATCAGACAGCGTCAAAAGTGCACCATCATGGTGTTCGTCATGTTTTTGTAAGTTTTCTATCATGGCTGAACCCACAAACAGAAAATATCCTGTGACTTGCGCTTTCGCTCCTTGATCGGTTCCATTACCTTGCACTGTCGGCTGTGTCTGGACTTAATATGAAAAGAAGCATATGGTCAATGTGCCCGTGCTGTGCAGGAACGCAGTGGAATTTTTGCTTTGTTGCCATCGATGATAAACAGTAAAAACGTTTCAGCACAAGCGACTCACAGTGCAGTCATATCATCAGTTGTAGTACTTTTAGATATAAGCCAGTCACTACGGCTTGTTTCGATTCGGTGCAACCTTTACCAGAAAGAGTCAGCTTGCTTAAATGCGATGACTTGGAAACCACCACTTTCATGCGAGATATGACCGTCGTCTTTGAAAGGTTAGGTTTTTGGATTCAGATAAAACTTTGTCACGAAAGGGAGCACAAGGCAAAGTTAACGGTGCGTCACTCGATAAGAATTGCATTAAACATGATATAAATTATATAGAACATCTTTAGTTGAAACGGTAAGGAAGCTTCGTTGATTTCTTTTATGCTTGAATATTTACCAAAAACTTGCGTGTGATTAGTCTCCATGGAGACAGTCCGTCATCTTAACATGAGTTAACCAAGAATTTGGTGGTATTGGTGCTAATTTTCAGCTTGTGGGTCATGATTTGTAGTTTAGTTTCACCACGTTTACAATATGCATACATCTACTTTTTTTCAGCCGTATCAAGTCGCATTAAAGCTTGGACGAAACGTTTCATGACATCGGCTACGAAATAAAAACAAAGAGGGGAAAAGTTGATAGACACCTTTCCAAATTATGCCTTTTGTTGGCATCTCTGAAATTTTTTTCACAATGGCGGACTTAAACCTCAACGTCATGACACACTGAAAAAAAAAAAACGCGAACAGAAAAAAGTGATGAGTTCATTGACGTTGCACGTTGGACGCTGTTCGATTTGCTCGTCGGCTCGTAGTCTTGGTCGCGCTCCAACGTTTGCTATCTTATGAAATCACTTGCACGTTCCTGGATCCAGTTGTTCCGCCATTGTGCAGGGGTTTCGACCTTCTAATAGTAGGCACGTGTCTTTCGAAAGGGGTCTGTTGGAGTCCGGCACCAACGAGTGAACAAACGACATGCGAGAAGCACTTGCTTTGTATTTTGCTGTATCTCTTGTTGACAAGGCGGTGATGTAGGGGCGGACGAGGTTGACAAATTTCGCGAAAATTACATTTTTAATGCTCCTTCTTTTCTTTTCTTACCGTCCACCGCGAAGCATTATGTCAACGAGAAATGATTGTTACCCGTAAGCAAGTAGAGATGTCTTCTCTTGTGGCAGAGCTGTGTTGAGCTTACCGTAATCGCAAAAGCGGGCTTGCTATTTTTGTTTTCTCTCCGTTTAAATGCTCGTGCGGCTGACGCAACACAGGTCAAAGTCGACAGTAGTGCTCCCGTCTACAACCGTTTTATTGTACATCTTCGTTTTCTCATCACTCACATCAAAGCAACATAGACTGCTCTCTTCACATGGAAGGAGAACACTGAGATCAGTCGCACAATACCAGCAACATGCTTGGGTTCCTGGGAACAAAAAACTGGGGCGACGTTGGCTCTATCTTAAAGTTCTGCGTTTAAGCACAAAGCCGACCGTACCAAAACGTCGTCGAGCACACACACACACACACACTTACACGCAGAAGAAACTGGGTCACCCTTGCCCTATGTTAAATCGATAGCGTGCGAATTTATCGGCTGCTTTGCCGATGTTTCTCTGATAGGACGCCAAATGAGATGCGGCTCTTCTAGTGATTTAGGGCAAGGAGATTCCGAAGCTGTTTAGCGCACCAAGAAAATATTCGGCTCATGGGGATGAGGATGACACAGCATACAGTCATCAGATCCATCCAGTAGGGGCGCGACTTCTCTTGCATGGTCTGCTGTTTGCCATTTTAGGGCGATTGTTTTGCCGTTTTCGTTTGTCACAGCTGCAGGCATTGAGTGGAGATAATATTGTCACAGGAAGAAGACACAGCCACAGAAAACGCGCCGTCATAAAATAAGCCATAATGTGTCGATCTACAGGACCTATGGAACCCCTACACACACTTTTGCTTTCTGCAAAATACCATGATTTAAATTACTAACTTTTTAATGAAGTGAATTAAGGTGGCCAATAACAGTCAACAATCATTGGTGGTAGCCAACAAGTTGTAGTTCTGCGTGCCTGGAGCTTGAAGGAAATGTCGTTGTTCATTTGGGTCTGAAGGAGGCACGACATGCGTTTTTTAGAAATTTAAAAAAAAAGTTTTCTAAAAAAAAAGATGCTTAACTATATAAATGTAGGAATGAAATATGCATTTGTTCATTAGCTGCGGGTATCCTATATTTTGGGAGACAGAGTTGTGGCGCTGAATGAGACAACATAATCAAGATCCCAGTTCAATAGTCGTAATTCATTGGTTACATTGTTCCTTTACAATTGATACAAAGTAGTCTCCTTTTAATGCAGGTGAAATTATCGCTGTTTGAGCATCTATACAAAACATTTGGCTTTTGGTAAAAGACGGGTGTTTCAACCAAGTCACGCTATCTACCCTTCCCGTGTGGACATCAACATTCCATCCCCCCACCCCCCCCCCCAAAAAAAAAAAATCCTGAAAATTGTAGTTTCACTCACTGTAGATGGACTTATTTGGTTAAAAACTCCTTCTGACCCTCAAAACTCGCAGCATAACCAATTCTATTTTTCCATACACCATGTTTTGCATCTCAAATGTGATCTCTCAAAGGTTTTCAAGCCTAGAAAAGTAGTCCTGACAAGTGAAATTGAAAATAATATTTTTTTCTCTAGCTAACAAGGATAACTAGATTTCCCGATAAGCACGGTTTTGCAACATTCCGCGCGCTTGACGTGAGCCCATTACCAAACATGTTTTCCTCGATGTTTCGTGCCAAAACTATGACGTCGATTGCTTAGACCAAATTAACTGTTGCTAACTGGCCTACCTCCTTAACGCTCTCTTCTCGGCGCTGATATAATCTCTCAAGCTTGTAAGGTAGGATTCCGGTTAGGTTGACGGGTGCACTATAAATCTAAAGCTGTTAAAAAAAGAAATCACATCAATTTAAGCGGGCTATTGAGCCTGCCAACGCACTCTAAAAGTCTTCTTTATTACTCAATACCTTGTTTTACTAGCGCGAGCGTAGCAGAAGCTACAAAGAAAGAGGAGGATGACAGTGTTTGCTAAGGAAGATATAGCAGAAGCTTGAAGATCGAGCTCTGTGCTTTAGGTTTTCTGCGAAGTACGCAATTTTGTGCAGTGCAGACATCGTTCATAGAAACATGCTTGGAGCGTTGTCGGTCGCGCTTAAGTATAAAAGAGAACATACTATGGGGGGTGCAAAAATGTTTCGCAATAAAATTGGGACTCTTTTTCACGTGTAAAACGCATCTGATTCTTGCAGCATTTTTTTCGTATTGTATTTTCTGTCACTTTCAGTTCTTTTTTAAAAAGGCTGAAATAGTATAAACGCTTGAATGAGGGGAATTCAAAAGGAAGGCTTTGATAACTGAGTTAACGCATGATGACCGCAAAACCTTACAACCACAAACAAAACTTTTGCGGGAAGTGTAACGTCCCTCACAATGCCCCCGAACATTCTCAACTTGGGGCATCAGCGTTACTCTTCAAACATCACGCGACACACTAGCGTAAAGACATGGGCCTGCACCGTGAAGACGTGGGACTTGGCTTACAGTGTCCAGACCCGTTTTGCTCCTGCACCCGAACAAGGTACGGGGCGGGACACGAGAGAACCACTCGTGGCCTACACTGTTCTTCAAGGCCTTGATGTGGGCAAGATCTTTCACAAAGTAGACGTTCCGACGTCCTCAGGTGTCTCGACTCGAGTGGCGAAAGCACCCCGACCACTGTTGAGGTCGCAAGAGTTCACACGCGTCGCTTGTGGCTCACAAGATGTGGCCTCCTCCTCGGAGTCTTCCACCAGGGCTCTGGCTAGAATCCCGATCGTCTTGACCTTAGATCGTCTCGTTTTTCGAGCACGTCCTGATTTCACAGCGGAACACAGTGATCCATTGGAGAGCAGGATCAGAGCTTTCCGGGGTAGTAGTAGGTGCGTACAAAGCAGACGCACGCGGCTGGGAAAGAGAACCTGGTCGGCATGGGCTCCACGCGGTTGTCTTCGGTGGACAGGGCGACCAGCACTCTGTTCACGTACTTGGTGGCGCAGCGGGTGGAATGGCCTGCCGGGAGCATGTCGTGGATGCGGTCGCAGGTTCCGCCTTCGTTCCTGCAAGAGAGACGCAACAACTTCAGTCATATGGTTTATAGGATCACGAAGTGAGTTTTCATCCTATACTAAGTTGACGTCTTTAAAAATCCGTCCTCTGTCGAGTAAAAAACAAACAATAGTGTACTTACGGCAACTTTTCACTTCGTTGGAATAGTTTAATACCCTGGCTACACTAGCGCTCTTAACTGTCATTAAGCCTACGATCGTTGACATCTCCCAGCTGTCATTGAGCTCAACTAACTTGTCCGGTGTTATACGGTGCATAAGCCTAACAACCACAGTTGCGATGCGCGACAAGGAACACAGTTGAAACCAAAACAAAATCAAGATTGATGTCCCCTTCTTTTCTTTTTTGAATAGCGATGCAAATGAATTATATGCACGCTTTTAGTTCAATATAAACAATAGCATAAAAAAAATTGTTTTCTTTTTACAGAAAAAACACAAACGACAATGAGAACGTTTCACACGAATTCAAGCAAGAGAGACACAACGGAAGTCTTATCGGCACTGACGTTACAATGGCTGCCCTCGCCGAGTTTCGGCTTTCGCTACGTGACGTGGTCGTTCTAGCGGCAGTCTTGGCCCCGAATCATACCTCTCCCGACAATATTTGCTGCTACGATACTTTCTAGATACCTCCCCCAATCTCCCGCAATAGCAAGTACTTCGCTGGCACTGGTTACGTGCAGCGATGCGGTGGACGCCGCCGTTTTTAGCTCTATTGGGGCCACGTGATTGGGGCGAACCCCTATTACAGAGCCGTATATAGAGAGAGTTTGGTCCATGGGAGGAGCGGGCAGAGCCAGGGCGTGCACGAGACGCAGATAAAAGGCATGACGTGCTCTCTTGGCCAACCAGTAGCCGAAAACAATCCCCTAGCGGTGGTAGCGAGAAACAATATTAATAAGCGCGTAAGAGTTAAATGGAGTAACACTTCATAGCTGAACATATAGTGCGCGTGATGTTTCGGTTATGGTCGTGCAAAGGATGTCAGAATTGAATGTGCCGCTCGAACTCTGTTTTGCTCGGACGTAGCCTGACCGCCTGGACGGCTGACTTCCGGCCCCCGGCGCCTGGCGGACGGATCACGTCGATCGTTCTCCTAGGATTTGATCTGGCATTACCGTGATCGAAAAAAATTAAAGACGTTTACAAATCTCTGTAACGCGAAATTAGAGCGCAGCTCTTGAGCAGGAGGAGGGGAGGGGATGAATGGGAGGGTATGCCCATCCTCCTCCTTCGTACCCTCTCCTCCTCCATTCCTTCTTTCCGTCCTCCTTTAATTCAGTTTTCCCGCTAAATTAAACGGGGGAAAATGACGTCACATGACTTCGTGTTACGTCACTTACGAACAAAATCAGTTTCTCCGCTAGATTTGGCGGGAAAATTGACATCTAGCAGAAAAAGTCCCCGCTAAATTTAGCGGGGGATTGAATTGGTGTTGAGGTCACGTGACATCAATGTTTTCGCTAAATCTAGCGGAGAAACTGAATTTGTCCGCTAAATCAATCGAAGAAACAGGATTTCCGCGCTAAATTTACCGGGGAATTCAATCGGCGTACAGGTAACGCAGCGGGGGACTGAATTGGTGTTGAAGTCACGTGACGTCAATTTTTTCCGATAAATCTAGCGGAGAAACAAAATTTGTCCGCTTAATCTAGCGCAGAAACTGAATTTCCCCGCTAAACTTAGTGGGGAACTGCATTGGTGTTAAGGTCACGTGACGTCAATTTTTCCGCTAAATTTAGCGGGCCGGTTACGCTGACGGTGACGAAGGCACCACGAAACCCGGAAACGGGCGCCTAAGAGCTGCGCTCTAACGTGCACCATATTTTAAGTCACGAGAGTTACTCCGATGCACTAACTAATTCTATAATGCAATTAAATGCAAGATTTATGTTTGTCCTTTGTCCCTCTTGTTCCCCTTCTCCAGGGATTACTTTCGTCATTCTTGTCCAGCTCGCTTGCACCTTTGCATGTAATTGCATTATAGTTATAACTTTAAATTGCAAGCTTCACCCTTGTTGGTGTTCGACTGGTGGCAGCTGATAAAACCCGTTTGCTCTACTGACGTCTAACCCCTGGTTAGCTCAGTTGGTAGAGCGCTCCACTTGTAATGGAGAGGTCCCGGGTTCGATACCCGGACCAGGCGGATTTTTTCGGTCGCTCACCAGTCACCTAGCTGTGTTTGGAGATTTATGTTTGTCCTTTGTCCCTCTTGTTCCCCTTCTCCAGGGATTACTTTCGTCATAACTAATTCTGTTTCTCGCGACCACCGCCGGGGTATTATTCGCGGCTTCTGGCGGGCCACATCTGAATCTGCGAAGACGCCCTGGAACACAAAACTCGCACTCGGCCAATGGCGCCTCCTCATTTGTCTCCTAAACTTCCCAATGAATGGCCAAACTCTCTCAATATACGGCTCTGCCCCATCAGTTATAAACCATTTCACCTGATGTTGTACCGCAGCGAATGCTAGAAGCGCGAGCTCATAGCGTCGGCCGCTGCCCTTAGTGCACGAGAGCTTGTGCCGCCGAGATGCGCTCTAGAGCAGGAAGCTCGGGCTTGTAGCCGTCCCCGCGTTACCTCACAAGGTGCAGTATATAGAGTTTAACGGAGGTAGGCCAGCTCAGTTGAACTCAATGATCATTAGCAACTCCATGACAACTGGTGCCGCCGTGTAGCTCCGGCCGATCGCGATTAAGTCAACTAAGTCAACTGTCGTTGGCTTAACGAAAATTCGGAGCGCTAGTGTAACTACGGTATAAAAGCATCATATTTACTTGCCAGCCAACAATTCTTCCTATCTTCATATGCGTGTAACGATTAAAAAAAAAAGAAAAAGACCCAGAACAAAGTGTGGGCAAAGTTCGGTTCTAGACAAGTCGCAGTCTGGGCACCGTTTTAATGGCTTTTCAGTGTGTCGCTGAAGTTTATTTACTTGTCCTGACTTTCCGAGCCAAAAAAAAAAAAAAAAGAAAAAAAAAAGCTCGTCACCACACGAGAGTTTCTCAGACACGGAAATAGAAGGCAATAAACTCAGCGCCACACCATGTTCATTTAAATTCTCTTAGCAAACAAACCGACTCAGTGCGTTTCGATTGCGCGACGGAGTGTAACTTCCCGCCAAAGCGGTGTCGCTGCCTCAGCAAATTGAACATATCCCGGGGCGCCGGAGCAGAGACACGCATGCTTGAACGCCACGTGACAGGTACACAAGTGGAGTAAAATGCGGGACGCCCTTCGAACGAGGAAAATAGCTTCACGGTGAGCCGAATTCTTCTCAAAAGTCTGGTATAATTTTAACGGACGGTATTTGCATTGTTATGCGTCCCTTGCAGTCGAAACAGGCACATAGCGTGTATAGCCTGGCCAATGTATCAATCTGTTTTAGGACCGCCAATTTTTCTCTCGCTGTTTTTTTTTTTATCGCCATATTTTTGTCGTCACATATGAGTCGGTTTCTTGCGATGCTTGACGCACACATAATTGCGATGACGGAATTGTCAGCGACCAGCTGGTGTGTTTTCACTTACTACTGTACAGTGCTCACCGTATAGTCAGGGTGACCTATGGCGCACAATACCATACCAGATTTAGCACGCGCTCCATCATCGCCAGGATGGCGCAAGATAGCTCCCTGTTACTTTTACAGAAAAATCAGTTTAAAGTTTCGTTCTGAAAATATAATAGTCGCAGACAAGATGAGAACAGCATGGCGTCCCCTACGGATGCTCGTTCTCCAGGCGCTCCTGGCCTTCTAGGTCACTCCACGCCAAACGATCCAGACCTAAATTCGACCATAACAAATTTGGTCTAAAGAAAAGAAAATTGTATATGTTATTGGTGATGTAACCGTACCTTTTGAAATATACTTTGGCTATACCTTTTTAAATATTTGTTCAGGAGCCCTTGAATATCAGGAAAACAGGCCCGACGAAGTAAAATATATATTTTTCTTTCAAGAAAGATGTGAAACGAGCCTGCAAAATAAAAACGGCTTTTAGTATGTCGCTATATCCTTCTAAATGATCTAACAGGTTTTGTCACGCATTTCCGAGTGTTTTTAAGGGTGCATGATTCGTGCGAAATGTCCTAAAAACTTATATTCTACTTTTATTTCGGAAAACACGCTATCATAATGAAAACTTCAAAAAATATGTGTGCGATCTGGGAAATAAAGCATATTAAAAAAAAAGTATTCTGATAAAGAAATGCGTGACTGCGTTTGTATTGAAAATTTAGTAAAATACTCAGTTTTCAGAAAAACAAGGCTGATAAAGGCGGTCGGTTTAAAAACGCGCACTCATCGGTTATGGAGAGTATAGAATTCACACAACGAATGAGCAAAGTGAGAAAAAAAAAATAAAACGTTTTAAAAGCGATTTTTTTTCCTTTTATGGTAATCAATAGTCAGTATTGAAATTATTGTAAAACAATACGTTAAAAAATGTGTCCGGATCGAAAACACATACTTCACGGTTATATGTACCATATTTTCACGACTGTAGTTTGCGGAGTATAGATCTTTGGAAGTTGAAATTCTACCCGATGCGGACTATCTACAGGTGCGGATTATGCAAGGATAGTTTTTTTTTCTTCTAGATCATGTACTGTGACAAGTCGTGAAGGATTTTATGAAGAAGGGACCATATTAATATTGATTTATGTATGATACAAGCTTCGTTGTGAGCCAGTGGAGCAGGCATTTGTCAATGGGCGAAGTGTATAAAGTTCGGACTAGGCACTAAGTACGCATTATGCACGGCATGCGGACTACGCACCGAGTGCAGACTATAGTCCGGAAGATGCGATAGTTAACTAATAAAAAATATTATCAGATACCCTTTGAAATTTTGCAACCATTAACAGATTGCAAAATACTAAAATAAGGAGTGGTGTTTTGTTACACGCACACACACACACACACACACACACACACACACACGCACGCACACACAACGCTTAACAGTTATACATTGTTTAGAATTTAA